CGGCGAGCCCCCCGGCCCGCGCCCGCTGGTGGGTGCGGCGGGGCCGGCAGGAGGAGGGGGAGACCCGGGGCGCGGTGCAGGAGGAGGGCGAGCTCTACCCGGGGGAGCAGGAGCACCCCGGCGGCAACCCCGGCACGCGGACCCCGGCACACCGCCCGAGCCGCAGGAGGTCCGCCCGGGTGTGAGGCCGCAGCCCGTGCCCGGTGCCCGCTGCCCCGGCGGTGATCTCAGCCGAGTTTCGGACGTCCCCGGCGTCGATCGTCGCACCCCGCCCCGGCAGGTGTGCGGGTGCGTCCCGCCTGGCATGCCGGTTGTCTGGAGTGCCGCCGTGCCCATCCTCGCCCTCCGGTGACGCTGCAGACCCGGCTCAGGATGCGGTGGCAGTGGCGTTGAGCGCAGAGGTAAGGAACGAGGCGCGACCCCACGTTTGGGGGTGATASGAGGGGCGGGGGGGTTCAGGGGTTGGCACTGTGGTGCTGCCCGGTTGGCATGTGTGTGTGCCGGTGTGTTGGCACCGTGCCCCGCAGCACTGCGAGCTGCGGTGCTGCCCTCGTGCCCAGGCACTGCGGGACTGCTGAGCCCTGGCCGGCAGCACACCCGACCTGCTCCAGCTGCCAGGGCAGAGCAGGCGGCRGGGTCTGGTGTGAGTGGGTGCCTGGTGCCCTTGAACTCTCCTGAACCACAGCGGAAGCTGGGGGAAGGTTTTTTTTTTTTTTTCCTGGAAAAAAGGCAGCTTTGCTCTTCCTCTTCCCTGGGYTCGTGGGAGCTGTGGCACTGAACAGAGGATCCTTGTCCTCCGGGGCCAGCCCCGCGCCTCGGGGCGTTGTGCTGCGGCTGAAACCCCGAGCAGCAGTGAGGTGCAGGGAGCCTCTGACCACCAGCTCAGCAGGCAGCACCGTGCCTGTGTCCAGCCGTGTTGTGGCAGGTTTTTCTCTGAACAGTCCAGAACTGTTTGGGTACTTTTAGTCTTTGTTGGTTTTGCTTTTTTTAATAAAAGTTTCAAGTTAAACCTGGTAAGGTGGTGCTGACAGTCCAGACAAGGATCCCATCTCACCAGGGAAATCCTGCTCAGCTTCTCCCAGCATGATCAGACCCTTCGCCCACTCTGAAGCAGCAGCTGGGGAGGGGGCTTGGAGGTGGCCAGAGGAGCTCAGACAGGGACAATGTCTCTGGTGGCAATGCCAGGGCTGGGCTGTCTGGGCAGGACAGGCTGGGGCAGAGCCCAGTGCTGGCACATCCCCACACCCTCTCCTCCCTGGGGCTGCTTGGTGCAGCGGCCACAACGGGGTGCCCCGGTACTGCTGGGCTTCAGCACCAGCTCAGCACCCTGCAAAGTGTGTCCCCCTTGCCTCGTACTGTGGGCTCTGGAGGCTGTTCATTCCCCCTCTTGCTCAGCTGTTTATTGCGCTGTCTCAGGGCAAAGCTTTGAACAAAGTTTTTGGGCATCGTGCTTTGTAAAAGTCTCCTAAAAACAGGATCTGCCTCGTGGGGTGTCTTTGAGCAGATCTTCACTACTGGGCACCTCTTTAGGGAGGACAGACCCCGGGTGCTGCTCCWGCATCCTCAGCTGTGGCCCCTGTGACCCAAATCCTGCTCCAGCTGCCAGCCCCGAGCCCACTGCTCCCCACAGCGAAGGGGGGTAGAAGCAGCTTCCGCATCCCCCGTCGGGCGGCGCCGAGGCCTGGGGGTGCAGGGTGGGTGCTGTGCAGGCTGTGCAACCTGTTACCAACCCCTGGAGCTACCGGAGCCTCGTTAGCCCGGTATTTGCTAGTGCAGRGTGGGGTGTGGTGGGTATGGCTGAGGGGCTGGCGATGCCTTCCTCCTCCTCGGGCAGCTGCCGGCCTGCTGTCCCAGTGTGGCTCGGCCTCCCTGGGGCAAGGGGAGCCCTCATGGGCACAGGAGCAGCTCCCACGGGACCATGAACTGCTGTRAGCTTGTAGCCGAGCCCAGTCCCAGCCAGCTGCAGGCCAGACTTCACATGGTGCCTCAGCTTCTCCCTGAGAGRTGCCATCGTGCCCCTGGAACACCTGGGTTTTGACTTCAATCCTGTCCAAGGGATGGCAGCTGTCAGGGGCAAAGCATCCTGGGGGGCATTACCCACTTGTAGGGGTTTTGGGGGACAGGAGGAGGCTCTGCTTTATGCACAGTCCCTGCCAAGACAGGAAGATTTAGAAGAAAGTCTTGTTCCATCCCTTTGCTGAGCAGYCCTGGGGGAGGGCCAGTATTCATGCTGCAGCCTGGCTAATTAGGTGCTGTCAGTTAGTGCTAATGACCGGCAGATACTGAACGGTCTGGCCGGGGTGCTGCACTGCTCTGCTGCTGGGGAACTGCGGGGATTGAGCCTTCACCTCCCCTTGCAGCTCCAGGCATTCCAACTCTCCCACTCCCAGCCCAAAGGGGAGATGCTGCTGTGTGGATGTGGCTTTGTGCCAATCCGGCCTGAGACCCGACAAACTCGTTTTGTGCCAGCTGCAGCCCGGCCCAAGGATGCATCCTGTGCTGGTGTGGAGGTGGGGTACTGCTGGCAGCACCCCGGGGCAGAGGGGCTCAGGGTGCATCCTGGTGCCCCCCTTCCCTGTCAGGAKTGGGGTAAAGCTCACCTGGAAGCAGGTCCACAAAGGCTCTTCCAGCTGCCTGGGCAGAGCAGCTCGTGAATCTTGGATGCAGGGAGACTTTCCATACCTTAACTCCCAGGAAGTCCGGAGCATCTGGGGTGGACAGATGGGGGTGGCAGCCTGGGAGATCCATTCTGACCTCTCCTGCTTCACCCAGGGTGACCCCGTGACCGGTGTCACCACAGCCCTGCCAGCCCCATGACTGAACCCTGATGCTGTGGCTCCTCACACACTGTCCAGTTCACTGCARCACTGGGCTGGCACTGCCAAGGGACCCCCACAGCACTGTCCCTRTGGCCCAGGTGAGGTCGATGTGGAGGCTGGGGGGCACAATCCTTGCACCAGGGCTGAGCAGTAGGGTCACCACTGTGTCAGTGACCCCAGAACTGAAGCCTGCTGCCCTCTCCCCCTCCCCAGCACTGCAGCTGGGCTGTGTAGTCAGGGTGCTGTGGGTTCTGGGGGCTGTTACTCTGCATGTTTGTCCCCCAAAACACTGCACTGGGTCCCCGCCTTGGTGGGAGAGCTTGGGG